ATGTTAATGTGCTAATATCAGCTCCAATTATGCAACATCAATGCCGCTTGTCACTGGGAAAGACAGCAGGAAATAAGGGTGGAAAATTCTGGGGTACGTCAGCCAAAATGAAATACATGGCGACGGTAATGTCATACACAGAATATTGCAAAAATCTCTGGAAAAGGTGTTGAAAGAAAAAAATACTATTAGAGATGAATGGAAGCTTTTTCAAAATGGTTTTGCATGCTCTGGTGGGAGGGGGGAAGCGCTACAAAAAGGCCAGTTTTACATTTACGCCATTGACAGAGATGAAGAAGCGCCAAAAAAGATCACTTTCTATGCTCACCCTCAAGCTTTCGGGTCGGCTTTCGGGCGGGTCAACGAAATTCTCTGTTCCTCAGATCGCTTATTCGGTGTCCGTGCACACAAATATGCACCCGAGACGACTCCCACAAGTATACAGGACATATAGCATTCAAAACGCCACTACGATTTGGCCGAAACATGAAGGCGATGCATTCAAACAGGACACTGATTGCCGCCGGGACTTTCCTTTCATGTTACCGCTTATAGGAAATTTCTTATCCTTTTAGCCAAATCAGAGCGCTGCTCAGGGAAAATGCTTGGCGGGAGAGGAAGGGAGAGGGAGTTTGCACTTTCACAGGTATTTCTACAAACTTTAACTAATAGCTTCGTGACTTCACAAAGTTTTGTAACCGCTCGACTAACAAAAATGGGAAAGTGAAAATTCCCCCCTCACCGTTCTTAAGTTGAGCGGTTGAAGAAAGAAAGCCAAAGGAAATAAGAGACCATTAGAATGCGACAAAAAAATCAAAGTACTAACCTGATAAAAAGTTGGATTATCAGTGATTGCAAAGCTGACTACAGCTGCAACTACTACTACAGCAGACAAACCGAGTGCCAAGTCCTGCAAAGCAAAATTCCAAATCTAAACAAAACCCTATACATAATCAGTTTACAGAAACAGAAAATCTGTCCACAACATACCTGTGAATTAAAGAAACTCTGTAAAACAAAAAGTACAGCAAAGACGACAAAGTAGTTAGTTTGGTAGTAGAGTAGGTTTGATATGATTCGATTGTTCCACCTCGGTAAGTCATTATAGGGTGGAAGCTGAAAACAGAAGTTGAAGCACAACCAAGCTATGTTCTACTTCCCAGCTAACGTCGCGTGAAAGCCCCTCCCCCACCCCCCCCATCGAACAAAGAAATAGTTCTTCACCGATTTAGAGTGGTTCAGCTCTAGTTCAAATCAGTGGATCATCATTCGCACGAGTTGGACGAGCAGACCGCGATCGTCCAACTCGTGCGAATGAATCGCTAGAGCAGCGAAAACTATGAACGCAGCCACAGACCAGGAGGAGAGCCAGCCACAAGTGCGTGAGAGTATGCTATGCTCCATGTTTCCATCTCCTCAACGGCCTGGACCAACAGTGTGACCCTCCTACACCAACGACGAGAGCTGGACGTAGACCATATGAAATACTTACGTCTGATTCGCGACTCCCACTGTTTGGTTCTGACTAAATAGTTCAAAGAGACCAAACAGGGACTAGAAAGACCACTTACATCGAAACGTGCTTTGCCAAGGATGAAATCGTTGAACGAACGAAATGGAGGCAATTCTACTCCATTTCCAAAACGAAACGGCTGTTCAATAGACGCTGCCGCGTTCTCCGACATTCCTGAACTTCTGATTTTGAATGATCAACAACAACTACATATAAAATAAGCGGAGGAGCAACTAAATTCAGAATCACGACAAAAGGAAAAAAATCGCCAGGACAAGTCAAAAGCAACTTGGAGAAAGGGAAAGGAAAACAATCCGGCTAATGCTTCTGTGCGATATGCACTTCTGGAGAGAAGAAAGACTGGAAAGCCTTTAAGAAATGGTCGGTATTCAGCCAAATTAGACCGCGTACCTTATCGGTGGAGCTTCGTGATTCGGACTAATAGGCGACAAACTAGTATTAGGTGCGTTCGTACTTTGCTGCAGCGCCCTGACGAGTCAGCGTTTTGAGCGTCCGCCAGCGTTTTGAGCGCCTACCAGCGATTACACCGATAATCGATATCTAGACTTTCCCATTGTCTCAAAACGCTAAAAACGCTGCCGCAAAGTATGAGCACACTCTTAGATATAAATCAGTGACTTTCTCTCTAGCAATTATTGTACTGTACTTTTTTATTATTATTTTACTGTTTCCACAAACGAATGTACGGGGGCGGGTGGGGGTAGTAGATTTCCACCCACTGTTTTTTCAACAAAAAAAATAAAGTAAGAAAAGCCAAGCTCAACATAGGAATATATCTAGGGCCTTTCCGAGGGTTTTTTGCAGTTTTTACCTCCTTACTGATATAATTACCAACATGTCATTAATATTTGAGCCCCACTACCCAACACTCACGATTGCGGGCTGTGCCTTCTAGCATAAACCTTTCGTGCCTCTAATCAAAGAATATTGGGCGCTGTTCACCTTGGAAGAGGGGGGGGGGAACCTGTACACACTTTTTGCCGTCGATGATGAGACATGCCTCGAACATTATGACATGCCATAAACACTGATAATACCAGTTCCATTTTTATGCTACCAAGAGCGATTGATTGCATTCAGAACCTTTCCTACTTCGCCTCCACCCCCCTAGCAGGGCACGCCATCGCGCTGTGATCATTTCCTGAAAAATACAACCCCCCTAATTCCATCCTCAAATACGACCCCTCCCATGTCTACCACTTTCCTAGATTTTCCCAACTTCCTACCACTTTTTCCCGAAAAATTTCCAGTTTTTCAGCCAAGAATTTTCCGTCGAGCGGGGGAGGGGGATATACCCAATGCGAAACAGGGAAATTCCTTACACTTTCCCTATCCTCCTACCTGTTTTTCCGAAATTTCCCGAAAAACTTCTAGCTCCCCAAAATTTTGCTGTCGAGCAAGGGTGTGAGGGGAGGTCGTCAGGATTTAACTATTATTTTCAACTATAGTACTTGTATAGATCTTTGGCAGTCCCTCTCCCAACAACGACCAAATACGACCCCTCCTCCCCGGTCAAATACGACCCCCCGTTATGATCATCACAACGATGGCATACCCTGCCCTTGAGGCACTCTGTAAAAGTACAAGAAGCACCACAAGAATGCTGAGATATGGGCAAAAGTCAGACTCCATGAGGTACTTGAACCCGCATCTCCCTCTGACCAGGAGAGCGCGCTATCTCTTACCCTCTCAATTCAATGGTTTTTTTTTGGGTTCAAGTCCCGATTGGGTTTGACTTTTG